CTATGGCTGTCAATATATTTATAGATGGTTTGTAAGAAAAGTGAATGCTCGGAGTTGCCAAAAGGTGTGGGATTAAGACATAAAAAATCTAACATAAAGTGGAAGTTGGGAGATTCTGAAGAGATGGTGCAGAGAGTGGTGGACGAGTATCGGAGGGTATGTAAAAGAAGGAAATTAAAAGTGAATGTAGGAAAGAGCAAGGTGATGAGGGTAATAAAAAATTTAGGTAATGAAAGAATGGATATCAGATTGGAGGGAGGGAGTATGAAGGAAATGAATGCATTCAAATATTTGGGAGTGGATTATCAGTGATTAAGTGAAAGATGATGATGGAAGTGTTTCTTCATTTTCGGGTCACCCTGCCTTGGTGGGAATCAACCTATGTGTTAATAAAAATAAATATTATCTGAAAACAATTAGTGATTAAGAGATGTTATCTAGAAGCTGAAGCTCTATCTCAGAGAGTACATGAAAACACACATATATCCATGCTACTAACTTATTGGGCGAGGTGTCAGCATACGGCATCAGCACTTTATCGACGAAGGATCCGAAGCCAAGATTAAATTGACTGGTGAGGATTCTCAGCTGGTCCGCCAACTTCGACCCCAAAGTAGCCAACTGCTCCTTATCATCTTTCATGGAGTTAGACAGATCCATCAGGTAGTAGAGATCGACCGGGTAGTCTCCGGCCTGGCGGTACTTCAGAGTGATGTTGAGGGGTACTCCTGTATTGAAGACATGGTAGTGTTAGTGTCTACTGCTTGGACCAGTGGAGAGACCACAGTGTTAGTGTCCACTGCTTGGACCAGTGGAGAGACCACAGTGTTAGTGTCCACTGCTTGGACCAGTGGAGAGACCACAGTGTTAGTGTCCACTGCTTGGACCAGTGGAGAGACCACAATGTTAGTGTCCACTGCTTGGACCAGTGGAGAGACCACAGTGTTAGTGTCTACTGCTTGGACCAGTGGAGAGACCACAATGTTAGTGTCTACTGCTTGGACCAGTGGAGAGACCACAATGTTAGTGTCTACTGCTTGGACCAGTGGAGAGACCACAATGTTAGTGTCCACTGCTTGGACCAGTGGGGAGACCACAGTGTTAGTGTCCACTACTTGGACCAGTGGAGAGACCACAATGTTAGTGTCTACTGCTTGGACCAGTGGAGAGACCACAGTGTTAGTGTCCACTGCTTGGACCAGTGGAGAGACCACATTGTTAGTGTCCACTGCTTGGGCCAGTGGAGAGACCACAGTGTTAGTGTCCACTACTTGGACCAGTGGAGAGACCACAATGTTAGTGTCCACTACTTGGACCAGTGGAGAGACCACAGTGTTAGTGTCCACTGCTTGGACCAGTGGAGAGACCACAGTGTTAGTGCCCACTCCTTAGACCAGGGAAGAGACCACAATATTAGTGTCTTCTGTATGGACCAGGGCAGACTGTTAATTTCCATTGTATGGACCAGAGAAGATTGCTAATGTCCACTGTATTAACAATGGAATGTAGAGGAAATACGGCACGTTTATATAGGTGGCAGGGGTTCCTCTGGCTTGGATGAAGGGATCACAGAAGGCAGGGTGGCAGGGGTTCCTCTGGCTGGGATGAAGGGATCCCAGAAGGCAGGGTGGCAGGGGTTCCTCTGGCTGGGATGAAGGGATCACAGAAGGCAGGGTGGCAGGGGTTCCTGTGGCTGGGGTGAATTTTTCACAATATGCATATATAGGGGACTGAGAATAATGAAGAGGAAAACTGAAAGTTTACATGCAAGGAAATTAAACAACCTCATAGAGCTGGTCCCAACATGCTAACCCGGATTTCACTATTAACTTGTCGAGTGCTGAGCTAACCTGGGACCAACTATACAGAGCTAAGATATGGATTAAGTTTCGCACCTACTAGTGGGGGCATTATTTATGTTGACCTTGCCAAGCCTTTTTGCAATCTGGTAAAACAAGGGAACCTGTTCCTGGAAATGTTTAACATTTACAAAGGCGTGGTATATGGGGCTTATCCTCAAATATTTGTTAAGTCATACCATGAATTAAGGAAAGATCCTAGACTTAACCTCACGAAAGAGGTAAAAGCTAATGTGATAGTAATTATGGACGAAGTAGATTATAGTGTATTAGGAAGTGTATTGTAGAAAATATGTTTAAAAAAGCTCCATGTATAATGTCAGTTTACAGGTATTGTTCTGAAACCAGACGCATATTGGACCAGGTCAGTCAGAGTGGCCAGTAGAGGTGTGTTTTGAGTCAGTACAGGAAGAGCGCTGGCTGGAGCAAGATGTCATGGTTGGTGTTTGTGTAGGGGGTGGATTTGGGTAAATTGATGCCATAAGTTGTTTGAATAATTTTTTGTATTTACTCTCCTGATATTTTCTTTTAAGGCCCTAGTGTGTGCAAGGAGTGTGTGTAGTGGAGAGTAGAACATAAGAAAGGAGAAACACTGCAGCAGGCCTGTTGGCCCATACAAGGGCCAAGTGGATAAGTACATCAGTGGTGACGTGTACTTAGCTCTGTGAAGACCTGTTTGTGTGCTCTCTGTGAATCTGAACCAGGATGCCCTCTCTTGAGCAACTTTACCAGCAGCTGACAGAAGAGCTCAGAGTTGCTAAGATGGAGATACGGCGATTAACGGAGGAGAACAAGAGGATTCGTAGTAATCCTCCTGTTGTGAGTCCCCAGGTTAAGAGGGAAGCTTGGTCAGTGGCCGGGCAGCATGGAACCAAGCTGAAGATCAAGAAAACGGTTGGAGAGGCAGAAACAACGAGAAACCAGAAGACTACCGTGGAAACTTCCAACCCATTCTCGGTGCTACCTGACGAATGTGAGTGTTCTACTGGGAATGCCACAACGAGCACCAAAGAAGCATTAGCAGACGTGAGTGAGACATCCCTAGAAACCCCAACGAAGACCATCGAGAACGTCTTGACGAATTCTACAAGTGGTGTAATGCTACCTGGCGAATGTGAGTCGACTACTCGGAGGATCACGACGGACGACGCCAAGGAAGGTAAAAACATTGTTGTTGTTGGGGATAGCCAGATTAGGTACATGGATAGATAGGATAGGAGTAGGAGGCAGAGAGTGTGTTTTCCTGGGGCTGGGATGAAGGATATTGTTAGCCGTCTGGATGACATCATGAGAGGTAATGGAGCAATCCTATTATCTGTCTCAGTGCTGGAGGCAACGATGTTGGCAGACGTAGGAGTGAGGACCTGATTAGCAGGTATAGGTCAGCAATAGAGATAATTAGGAGGAAGGGTGGGAAACCTGTCATATGTGGCATTTTGCCAAGGAGAGGAGTTGGAAATGAATGGTTGTCCAGAGCAATTGGTGTCAATTGCTGGCTGGACAAATACTGTAAGGAAAATGCGGTAACATTCATTGACAACTGGGACCTCTTCTATGGCAGAAATGACATGTATGCCAGGGATGGGGTTCACTTATCTAGGTGTGGGGTGGGAGCACTGGCCAACGCAGTGGAGGGAGCTGTTAGGTCTTTAAATTAGGAATAGTTAGTGGTATGGGTTTTGGCGGGAAAACTGTGAAGTCGCAGGGTAGTAATATGAGTACTAGGAGAACTAGTAATAGGCAAAATGAGGTGGATATTGGAAAGCCAGTGGCACTAATTGACAAGGACAGTAATAGGTTTAGTGGAATAACAGAAAGGAGCAGGAAGGGTAAAGAGAGGAGGGTCTTTAAATATTTATTACGCAAATAGTCGCAGTGCTAGGAATAAGATGGACGAGTTGAGACTAGTTGCCAGTGCAGGTAACATAGATGTATTTGCCATTACTGAGACGTGGTTTAATTCAAAAAGTCGGGACATGCCTGCAGAATGTCACATTCAGGGTTTTAAATTGTTCCAAGTAGATAGAAGTGTCGGAAAGGGGGGTGGGGTGGCATTGTATGTCCGAGATCGCTTGAACTGTTGCATAAAATCGGGTATTAAGTCTGAAGTAACACATACAGAGTCTGTTTGGATAGAATTTTCAGAGGGGCATGAAAAATTAATTTTAGGTGTGATATACCGTCCCCCAAATTTAGATAGGGACCAAGGGAGACTACTATGGGAGGAAATTGTTAGGGCCACAAGGCACGATAATGTAGTAATTCTAGGAGACTTTAACTTTAGTCATATTGATTGGAATTTCTTGACTGGGAATTTAGAATCATACGACTTCTTAGAAGTAGTTCAGGATTGTTTTTTTGAAGCAGTTTGTGACATAACCTACAAGGGGTAATAACCTGCTTGACTTAGTTCTGGCAAACAATGAATCCCTTGTTAATAATTTAGAAGTTTCAGAGGAACTGGGTGCTAGCGACCACAAATCAATTACATTTAGCATTGAATGGAAGTATGATAGTAGGGATAACTCAGTAACAGTCCCAGATTTTCGCTTAGCAGATTACGATGGGCTTAGAGAACACTTATCATCTGTTGACTGGGGTAACGAAGAGAGCTATCAATATGACAGTTTTCTGAACACAATACATGCTGCTCAAAGAACGTTTATCCCTTATAAAGAAATTAGATCAAATAGAAATGACCCAAAATGGACGAATAATAGGCTGAAATATCTACTAGGGCATAAGAAAGGAATTTAGAGGCGTATCAAAAGAGGCGAGGGTCATCTTATGAATCAGTATATTGACATTAAGAGGGACATTAAAAAGGGGATAAGAAAAGCTAAAAGGGACTATGAAATTAAAGTTGCTAGGGATTCTAAAACGAACCCAAAAAGTTTTTTCCAGGTATATAGAACAGAAGTATGTATAGACATGTATAGAATGTTTAAGTTTACAGCATAGAGGAAAGCCATGAACGTATGTTCATATATCTGCTACTACTCATATCATGAAACAAGAGTAAGAGTTTCTTACTGTTTTTGAGAGCTTACCGAGTGTGCAGCCCTGAGTTTCTTGATGAGGAAATTAGGAAAATCTTTGATATTGCCACAAAACTACGTTACTCTAGCTGCTTTTCTGGCAGCTAGGAAAATTTATCTAGAATAACTCCTCAGACAAAGAATGTGCTTTATCAGTCCTGCCGAATGCCCTAAAGACATTGAATATACAAGTTGTTTTTAAGAATTCACGGACTATTACGAACATGTTGATCATGAATCCCCCACAATACTGTGTTGGTGGTGTTTACATGATTGGGTACCATGGCTGCAACTTATCTTATGTGGGACAGACAAGTAAACGTCTAGAAGTTAGAATAAAACAACATCGATATTGAATAAGAACAGTTCAGGAATCAAATGCGGTGTTCAACCACACACGAGTCTGCAACAATCCTTCTATTGTTTGGAAGCCAAAGTCCTAGTTCCATGTACTCCATGGCTAGTAATATTTTACAATCGGCAATTATAAAACATGATAAATATTCATTATAGTATAATGGTAATTTTTTTTTATTATCACACTGGCCGATTCCCACCAAGGCAGGGTGGCCCGAAAAAGAAAAACTTTCACCATCATTCACTCCATCACTGTCTTGCCAGAAGGGTGCTTTACACTACAGTTTTTAAACTGCAACATTAACACCCCTCCTTCAGAGTGCAGGCACTGTACTTCCCATCTCCAGGACTCAAGTCCGGCCTGCCGGTTTCCCTGAATCCCTTCATAAATGTTACTTTGCTCACACTCCAACAGCACGTCAAGTATTAAAAACCATTTGTCTCCATTCACTCCTATCAAACACGCTCACACATGCCTGCTGGAAGTCCAAGCCCCTCGCACACAAAACCTCCTGGTAATTGCAGATTATTAAAGCTTGATTCGTTTATAAATGAGGCTATGAATGGTCTGGGTTGTCTTAAGTGTCATGGTTCCACTTCAAAGAATTAGGGCCTGTTTCCCTGCCATCTTGGGTTAAACCAGTATCTGCCCTAAGAATCTGGTAGGATAGATAAACTATGGTTGTCTACCCTTGGATAAATTATAAATGTCTCCCTTTAGTTTTAAGTGAGTCACCTGCAGACTCGTTTTCTTAATTTTATGGAATGTAAAGTCTTTTATGTCGTACCGGTTTGACCGAATTTTGGACACTTGTCATGTCACTAATGTTACGTTCGCTAAGTAATTACTCCATTACCAATGCTTGTGGGCTGATAAATCTGTTGGGACCTCTGACTCATTTCTGCAACAATGAAAGCTCCTGATAATGTGCTGATTGCAACAAGAAAGTCATTTCATATATATATATATATAATATATATATATATATATATATATATAATATATATATATATATATATATATATAAACACTGAATCTCTGGCTGAAGGAGACTCGAACCTACGAACCTTAGGACAAGACACGCAGTGCTTTACCAATCTACCCACACTGGTCAGAAGCCAGACACAGGTATGGTAGGATTGTGGACAGTGGAGTCAGAGTGCACATGCTGTGGATTCCATCTCACATTGGTCTTCAGATGCATGATAGAACTGATAAAATTGGCTAAGCTGTATGCTTTCAAAGAGGGAGTAGATTACAATCTTGCTTGTCAGGTAGTAGTTTGAGAACAATAATACGAAAAGAACTTCAGCTGAATTTTATGGACTTAAGGCTCAGGGAGATTGACACCAGTGAGTCCATCTATCATCATTCTATCATGCAGGAGAGCCACATGTCTATGGTGCATCCAACAAAATAAGCAGACTCTTGGATGTCACTACCGCCCGGCTCCGGCTGGGTTACAAGTATCTTTGCAGGTTAAATCACCACCACCAGATGTAGACCAAACGAAATGTAAACTTTGCCAGATGGATTATTGTCACAACCCCTGCGTCATTATGTACTGGAGTGCGATAAAATTAATGAATTTAGAAACAACTCACTCAGAAGTGTTCAAGAAATGGCTAAGTATTTTATCCACAGTGGTATATTACAGACCATTCTGGAGAAATACCCTGACTTTGCTAGCTGTAAATAAAGCATTACCACATGTGTGCATGTGTGTGTGTGTGTGTGTGTGTGTGTGTGTGTGTGTGTGTGTGTGTGTGTGTGTGAGTATGAGTGTGTGTGTGTATGAGTGTGAGTGTGTGTATGAGTGTGTGTGAGTATGAGTGTGTGTGCGTGTGTGTATGAGTTTGTGTGTGTGTGTGTGTGTGTGTGTGTTTATGTGTGTGTGTGTATGAATTTGTATGTGTGTGTGTGTGTGTGTGTGTGTGTGTGAGAGAGAGAGAGACTCAGCAATCAACATTTGCACCAATAACTCACTACAGTTGTGACCGGGTGTGGAAGTGTGAATTGCTCATTACTCTAAAATTTGTTCATGATTGCAGCCATGTATAAACGTAA